ATTTTATATTTAGTGGGGTAGGTTAAAGTATGAGGCTTAGAGATTTTGCTAAAAACATATAATCCTCCCCCCCCCAAACCAAATTCCTAATTACGCCACTGTAACTTAATAAAAATTATTCATTAAATTATATATTATTTAAAACTCATATCAACAAATAAACAGCTGACTTACAAACATTATTCACGGATATCGACTACAAAATGTCCCTTTTTAGTATACGGTCGCAAAGTTCTGACTTGTTCTGATACTTATAATATGCCAACAAAATTCGTTGCCATTCCGATCCAGCGTGCGGCAATCTTGCATGCGTGTGTATTACAGCCTATAGATATGGTGACCAGATATTAAAAAAGAAAAAACAGTACATTATAATATAGGCTAATATATATTATGTGTAAATATATATCAATATAAATACTTAACAATATAACATCAATTTAAACTCATTTATTTATTTTTAAACATAAATATGCATCACAAATTTTTAATCTTTCTAACAGTGAAAAATAAAATATGTGTTTTTAGTTTGTTACTTTTTATATAACTTCTCTCATGTGATTTTCTTGAAAAACAAAACTTATAATAATARATACTTAATAAAAAACAACTTAAGAACTTAGATTATTATTATTATGTCTTATTAAGTGTACTTCGACCATTTATTTAGGACAGTAGGACATGTTACCAAAAAACAGTACTGTCCTTATAAAATAAGTACATCTGGTTACCATATTTATAGGTATTTATCGTTATAGCGTTACAAATAATACACTATAACTGTCTACCACTATATATATGCGCAAATAGCAGTGTGGATTGGAGGCTTTTAGCACACAAACATTTTCAGCCTCCCCTCCTAAATCTACAACAATTTTGTTCTTATGCTACTACAACTAATATAGTATGTAGGTAATAATAATATCCTAGACAGGTTAGTATATGAAATATAATTTAATTATATAGAAAAATATATGACTGTAATATTCTACAGACAGTTCCGCTTAATGTGATCGTTCTACCTAACCTAATCGAACTAAAATCCTGCGTACGCTACTGTATACATAGGCACAATTAGAGGCCAAACACTGGGGGTGCTAAAATTATGTAGATGGAACAGACCCGTGAGGGCTACACCCTCACACCCCAAGTTCCTACTTCAATTTTATAATTACGATAACTAGGCTTAAGGACTTATAACTCTAAAAAAAA